CTGCTCCTCCCCTTACTCCCCCCCCGCCCCTTCTCCCCATGCTCCTCCTTCTCCTCCTCCTCCTCCTCCCGCTGCTGCTCCCTCCTCTGCTGCTCGTCCAGCTGGCGCTCCTCTCCACGAGGCAGAGTCTGGGATCGCAATCCACATCGCGTCCCTGGAATCACCGGGGCGTCCTCTCTCCTCGTCCAAGACCTGTCGGAGTCCGACCTCTCGTCCACCCACTCCTCACCTGGAATGTGCTCCTCCTCCTCCTCCTCCTCGTCCTCATCCTCGGCGTCCTCGTCCTCGTCCTCCTCTTCCTCGTCGACCTCCTCTGCATGCCCCAATCTCTGCACGGACCTCGATGTCGATGGGCCGGCTCGATCGTGGCGAACAGTGGTGCTGCCCACCGCAGAACCGGCACCCCCGAGAGCAGGCTCGTGGTCGTCAACGGCCTCGGGGACATTCGCCATGTCACCCTCCAGGTCCTCGTCCTCCCATTCAGCTGGGAGCCCCAGCCACCCTCCTGCTATCGTGGGCCCGTCTTCCCCCCTGCTCTTCAGCCTCAAGCTCCAGTGCGAGTACACCAACTTGTTGGTGCGCTGGTGGTGCAGCTTGTTCCTGCACTTCGTCTGCACGAGAGCCCAAGTGCTCCAGTTCCTCTCAGCAGGAGAGGAAGTCGTCCATATCGACAACACTCTGATGGCCAGCTCACGAATCTCCGGATGCCCCGCCCCATGCACCTCCCACCACAGCACCGCATTGTCCTTCGCAGCCCGTTTCTTTGCCTAAGGGGTGCCGAGGACTCCTCGCCCGAACTGGAAGTCGTAAAGCTGGTCCATGCAGTCATCGAATCTCGTACTCCCCTTCTTCCCGATGAGCCTCTCGACCACACTCTCAAACTGTGTCATGAGGTCGACATTACTGAAAACAGTAATGTCCCTCAACTGAGGATCCAAGAGTTGAGTCACAACGTGGATGGGGCTGAGCAGCATATCCGTCCTGTTCCCCACGTCCCTGAGGATGTCCTCTCGCTGCTCTGCACTGATGGGGGCCAATCAAATGAAGTCGGGCAGCCGACACGCCATATCGTAGATGCGTGATAAGCAGTGGACATCTTTGTCCACCTCTCGCAACACATTATAGGGCTCCTTCATGACGGCAGTCAGCTTCCTGACTGCGGTCCAGAAGACCCTGTCAAGAACTGTTTCCTCCACGAAGAAGGCCTTGGCCCTGATGTCCCCTCGCCAGACCTGCGCCTCCCACTCCTGCCCGGTGACAATGTGTCTGATCGCCTTCTCGCAGACCTCCAGCCGCTTCAACATCACGTAGTGCGTCCCAAATCTCGTCTGCGCCGGTCGGAGGAGACAGCTGCATTTCAAGTCCGGAAACTTGACAAGTGCATTTCTCAATGCCGATTTGGGCCAGGAAGAAGTTCACCACTCTGTTCGCCTTGCTGATGATCTCAGCCGCCCACTCCTTCTTGCAAATGTCGTGCAGGAGGAGTTCCATGCAGTGAGTGGTGCAAGGCAGCCAATAGATCTGGCTGAACTCGGGGTCCTCCCTCAACATCCTGGCAATACTCGTGTTGCCCGCAAAAGAGTCCGTGCAGATGGCCGTGATCTTTTCCACCCCCACCTCCCTGAAGAACCGCTTCCATCCAGCCACGAGAACTGCAGAGTCCTTGTCCCCCTCACTGACATCCTCGCACTTGATGAAAACAGGCTTCGACCAGCCTGCGAGGATGTAGTTCATAAGCGATCGACCACAAATGTCTGTGGTCGCATCGGTTATGAACGTGCAGCCCGTCACCTCCCAGTCGTCCCGGATCACTTGCTCCTCTTCCTCCAACCTCTTGTTCAGGCGATCCAGGAGCCGACACCCGAGGGGGTTGTACCCAGTAGGCACAAGAGGATGACTCGCTGCAGGCTGTGGCCCATGACACGCCCGCGTGAACTTCTTGAAGCTCCTGCTCTTCGCGGCGTTGAACGGGATCGTGTTCTCCGTGAAGAACTCGCAGCAGGAGTCATCTATCTCCTCCTGCCTTGGGTTCTTCACATACCTCTTGATGCTCGTCTGCCTCCCCGTTCTGCGTGCGCGGGCCCCCTGCATCACAGCCTGCGAGGACGCAAACCTCCCTCCACCGGCGGATCCTCCAGTCACAACTCCCCTCGTCCCCTCATCCAATCCCTCCTCACCCTCCGCACCACATGCTTCCTCTAGCTGATCAGCAATCCCACCTCCCCCCTCCTCTCCAGCACCTGACGCATCAGGAATGTCGTCGTCGTCGTCGTCCCTTTCGTGCTCCAACGTCATCCGCACCCTCTCCAGCAGATCCGGTGGAAGCTTTGCACCGATGCGGTGCAGCCTCTTCCAAATGGAGAGGTTCGCACCTGGACATCTGGCTGACACCCTCGCTAGGATGAAGTGCTCTGCTGCACGCTGCCTGTTCCCTTTGTACTCCTTGTTGCAGAGCTTGCAGCGCAGTCTTCTCGCCCCGCGAAAATTGCCTGGCAGCATCCGCCCAGGAGTCACCCAAGTCCACACAACATGGTCCCTTGGGCAGGCCATGTCCTCCTCGAATGGCCCTTCCGCCCTTTCCGCCATGTCACTCGACGGTATGCGCCCCAAGCGGCAATGTGGGTGGAGGATGTGCAGCTGGTACACCGGGAACTGCAAATCCGGTGGCACGTTCTCACAAGGCAGTTGCTTACGTGGCACCTGCTGACGTGGCAGTTCCTGCTGACGTGGCAGTTCCTGACGTGGCGACTGTTGAGCCTGTCTGTTGACGTGGCGGATGCTGTGTCACCTGCTGACGTGGCAGCAGCTCACGTGGCAGCTGCACATCCTCCGGTGGCCGTGGCAGCTGCACATCCTCCAGCTTACGTGGCACCTGCTGACGTGGCAGTTCCTGATGTGGCAACTGGTGGGCCTGTCTGCTGATGTGGCGACTGCTGACATGGCGGATGCTGTGTCACCTGCTGACGTGGCAGCAACTCACGTGGCAGCTGCACATCCTCCAGCGGCCGTGACAGTTGCACATCCTCCAGCTTACGTGGCACCTGCTGACGTGGAAGTTCCTGCTGACGTGGCAGTTCCTGACGTGGCGACTGGTGGGCCTGTCTGCTGACGTGGTGGATGCTGTGTCACCTGCTGACGTGGCAGCAGCTCACGTGGCAGCTGCACATCCTCCAGTGGCCGTGGCAGCTGTGGTCCTGCGCATGCACGAACGGGGTTCACGGGTGTGAGAAACGAAAATATGTAAAAAAAATAAAATAAAAATAAATTGGAGGATGAAGAGGCGAGAAGAAGAAGAAGAAGAGGAGGAGGAGGAGAAGAAAAGGAGGAGGAGGAGAAGAAGAAGAAGAAGATGACGAAAGGAGGAGGAAGATGAGGAAGAGGAGGAGATGAAGAAGAAGAAAAAAACGAGGAGAAGAGGAAGATGGCGTCCGCCATCTTCCTCTTCTCCTCGTCTTCTTCTTCTTCTTCATCTCCTCTTCCTCTTCCTCATCTTCCTCCTCCTTTCGTCATCTTCTTCTTCTTCTTCTTCTCCTCCTCCTCCTCCTTTTCTTCTCCTCCTCCTCCTCCTCTTCTTCTTCTTCTCCTTCTCCTCCTCCTGCTCATCTTCTTCCTCCTCCTCCTCATCTTCTCCTCCTCCTCCTCTTTTCCTTCTTTTTCTCGTCCTCCTTAATGAGTCCTCATCTTCTCCCTATCCTCTTCGTCGCCATGTTGTCCGCCTGAGGAAAGGTCACGCATGCTGACGTGGCAGCCGCACGACGACAGCGAGCATGACGGGGAAGAAGACAACGACGAGGAGGAGGAGAAAAAGAGGAGGAGGAGGGGAAGAAGAAATAGAAGATGACAAAAGGAGGAGGAAAATGAGGAGAAGAAGAAGATGGCGAGAGGAAGAAGAGGAAGAGGACGAGGAGGAGGAGGCGAAGAAGAAGAAGATGATGATGACGAAAGGAGGAGGAGGAGAAGACGACGACGAGGAGGAGATGAAGAAGATGACGAAGACGAGGAGGAGAAGAAGAAGAAGAAGA